GGCAATGAGCACGTGAAGTGTGCGAATCACTTAAAGAGCGCGCGGAGCGCGCTCCCTAGGGGGTGGGTGCAGGGAGGGGGGCGCGAAGCGCAGAAGCTCTGACGTTTCATTAAATTACTAGAGAAAGAAGACGATTCGTTGTACCGTTCTCGACTCTTAATCCTGAATTTTCAAAAATAATATTAGATTTATTGTTGAACAAGATTTCGATTTTTTTTAGGATATCTTCAGAAATGAGCATCATGCATGTGATAAATATATTGACGTTTAAATCAACCAATCACCAAACAATCAGCATTTCATCATGATTTCCATAATTGCTAGCAGGAAATATTTTAGTCGTTATTTGCCACATTATGACTTATTTCTGGTATGGGAGCGGGGTAGTATCTACATACTGGCTATAGCAATTCCTACGTTCTCCTCAGCTGCTCAAAGTAGAATCCGTATTAATCAAAGTAGAATAGTAATTACCTACTCTCAATCAATAATCTTATCCCTAATGTAGTATATTCACTGTGTTCTCGTATTCTTGGCCGTGGATTTTGTATTTTTACTGTGTCACCACTTCGATCAAGCGATAGACAGTGTTGATAGTGTAGTTATATTATTTGCTCAGAAACAGACTGGTCACTATACTACTAGGACTGTTGGACTTCAGCCACGATCTTCGTATAAATCTTCTTGGTTCTGTAACCAAGTTCTACACATTCATACTGTACCTTTCAATGATGAAACATCAGATTTGAGCCAAAGTATTCTCATGTGACGACAAGATGACAGCTTTCGTGGTTGCGTTATGATATAAACCAGGGGCGTGTACAGGGGGGGGGTCCAGGGGGTCCGGACCCCCCTTCGCGTGCTCGCAACTTTGGGTTATGGTTAGACCCCCCTCTGGTACAAATCCTGTACACGCCTCTGTAGACTAGATGCTAAAACAAGTGACCATTGAGAGTCGTCTACATAGATATCATATAACAACTCACTTGTTTTGTGGAGGAGACCCCCAGAACCCCCTCTACCTCTCCCGCGCGCGCGTGCCCCGCCGCGTCGGTGCCTGCACGAGAAACCAACGAGATTTCGTGAGCCTACTAGCAACGCCTCTTGAAAGCCATGCAGTCGTGCGTTTTGCGTGAGCCGGCGCGACAAACCTAGGGCATTAATGACCACCGCGATTTCCTTCCTCGTGTTTTTTATTTTTCCCTCGCGCGATCATTCGTGGTTACGCTGCGCAGCGCGAATTTAAAGCCGTTTGTACTCTTTGTATGTTCTATATCTCCCTTTAGGCCTTGTTATTTTCCAGCAGTGTATTCGCCTCATGAGGAAGTAATATGGTGGTTATGCGTTGTGGATCCGCTTCCTAAATTTTTCCCTCAGGAAAACCCTGGCGTTTTAAGAAAAAAGGCCTGTCCGGCCCAGCACAGCGGCGCGGCACGGGCACGGCACGGGCAACGGCGGCTGGCAAAAGTCAAAATGATTTCATTAGCTCAGCGCGTGTGGCGTGCACAGTGTGTGCTGTGTGCGCGCGTGCAGATGCGCGTGAGTGGCGTAGTAGGTGGTGTCGTATTGTGTGCTGTGATACTGTGTGTGAGGTACTGTAACAAGAAGGCCCGCAGAGCGTCTAGCTCGATCTGAGGTCTGTTGGCTACGATTAATAAAGAACAGTAAAATTTCAGTCGTAGGCCGTAAGTACCACATTATTGTTAGGCGCAGATCATAGCAGAACACAGCAGTTGCGTACCTACATCATTGTTTAGGGACACGAAGAGGTGCGCCGGCCCACTATGCCAGATGGAGGGTAGGGGGAGGGTGGCGGGAGAAGGCGTGGGCGGAGCAAGGGGGGTGGCGAGGGGGAAGGGGAGGGTGGGGGAGGGGCCTCTAATATCAGCAAAAAGACAGTTTCACTCCTTTGTTTAACAGTCAACAAATCCAGTTTCAACAGCCTCCTCTTCGCAGGCGCTCTCAAAAGAGCTTATCCGAGCACTTAACTCTTCGAGTCTTTCGCATGTCAACGACAGAAGGGACATCATTCAAATGGGTGACCTGTGTCAAATACAAGCCATAAAAATGCTAGGTCACCGCTGAACAAAAAACGTTTTTCAAATCCGCTCCCGTCAGAACCATGTTCCTCTGGAGAAAAATGTCTAAATCTGCCCTGTTGACCCATTTGCCGTATTGAAGCACTAGCCGTTTGGGCTCCAATTTCGGCAGCAGTGATGGCTTTTTTCCTACCATGATGCTATACACCGACTATCACGAGCCTAGGTCGAGCCGTTTAGATTTGTGCCGCAATTCTGCATTTCCTCCCTATACCTTAAGTTAAGGAGTGAATGTTCCCCCTTCTTTTACACCTCTTGACCTTTGACCTTTGACCCCAGCTTCGACATCCCAACTCGTTTTGACGATCCCCCCCAACGACCCGAATATCGTGACCGTACGTCGAGCGGTTAAGATTTGTGCCCAACTGTTGACGGACGGACGGACGGACGCACGGACGGACGACCGGACGGACGGACGGACGATCATGCGATTCTACAAGCTGCATCTGACTATGTCAGATGAGCTAAAAAGTAATAAAACTGATAAGTACTAACTGGGGAATATAGTCAGCTTTGATGAGCAGCTAATTTTTCTGGTTCAATAGCATCCCGAAGTTACAAAAGTAGTAGAGTACGTATAATCAGTATATGCATGTGCTGTGAAAACTCTTCTGTAAACTATTACATGAATTATATGATATATTATCATGTTGTTATATGATACCTATGGTCGTCTATCACTAGAGAACATTATTTATGATGCAACGCTACGTCATTGATATACAGCATATGATTGGCCAGAAGTTATATCGCTGGGACGAGTCTTGCCCTATGTGACAGGACAGACACACAATAAGAATACACAAGTAGCACGTAGAGAACCCGACCCGCTGTACACAAAATATCCGTAGAGCTTGATAGTCATATTATTGTGTAGGTACGCACGATATGTTATGCCGAGCTGGAAAAGGCAAACTGCGCTGGGCTCAAAGCTCATTTCACAAAATATTTTTAAATAATTAAAAGATATCTGTTGTTTCTTTTATAATCTTTTTAACAGTCTTTGTCATGTGTCTTTGTATGCTCCTTTTTCTTCCTACGTCCTCTTACTTTTTCTCTTCTCTCTCTCTCTATTTTTGGCTGGCGTTTTGGGGGGGAGGGGCGACCGCCCCCACCACCCCCCCTGGCTACGCGCCTGCCTGGTTTTGGTACGCTGCACACCTTCTCCCCAAGATGTGTAAGTATACCAAGTTTGGTAGCGCTAGGTCAATTAGGGGCCAAGTTATAGAGCGGAAGGGAAATATGATCAAGATAAAGGTCAAATAAAGGTCGCAGTGACCTGGTTTTGGTACGCTGCGACCTTCTCCCCAAGATGTGTCAGTAGACCAAGTTTGGTCACGCTAGGCCAGTTAGGGGTCGAGTTATAGAGCGGAAGGAAAAATCTCGGCGCCGGACCGAGCGGCGGCTGCACAGACATGAAACCGACTTCGTCGCGGGGAATACAATAATACCACTCCAGTTAATTTATTGAAAGATTGGGCTCTACTGTGTCTCTTTACTCAGGTTTAAAAAAAACCGGTACGTCCGTAGTTGTCTAGCCTAGTTGTCTTTTCCCGTCACACTGTACGCAACTGTCACGAACAAGTGCCGCAGAGCGACAGCGCTCATCTAACGTCTACTGCGGTGACTCTGTGGTGGAGTGGTGGGATTCTAGTAAACCCTGTTAGTCCCAAATGTGTTCCAGCATAGCACGCCGAACACGAGTGAACTGCGACAGGGATGGTAATTCGAGGAACACTTCTCAAAAAGAATTTTCGTGTGGGATCGTATGAAAGCTTGGCACAAGAGAATGGGCGCGTAACGTTGTAAGTGAAAATCAGATTAAAGAATGGAAGCTTCCCATCATACGTGAGCAACAACTATTTGCCAAAGACAGAATAGGGTAAGCACTCATGCATTAACCTACGCAAGCGCTACAGGCTGCAAATGCCAATATGAGAGCTTGCCAACCTGTAAGCCATTAATCGCATGGCGAAAAACTGCACCAACTACAATGCAATGGCAGCAGCCACTGGCATTGGCATACGTTTACGATGTACATACTGACAGTACAGAAATGACATAGAAATTAATGAAGCTTTTAAGGAGACAAGACCACCGTTCCTTTAAGCCAAAATTAGCTTTGAAATTTCACTGCTGACATTGGTAGCTCTTCATACATGCCAGGCATGTATAGATTCTACTAGCAAACCCGGCAGTGCAATTCTGTTCTAAACAGACAGATCAAGCCAATCCAAGTTTAACCGCGTCCCTTGAGGTCAAAAGAGTTATCCCGACACTTAACTCGTTCGCTATGTCAAGCAAGAGGTGACAATTTCATGTCCGTTTGCAATAAAGCCATAAAAATGCTAGGTCACCGCGCTGGAAGACAAATAAAAGTTTTTGTCATCCGCTCCGTCAGAGACCATGTCCTCAGAAAATGTCTAAAATCTGCCCTGTGCCAGCACTGACCTTTGACGCCTGATGAACACTCGCAATTTCGGCAGCAGTGATGGTTTCCTACGCATGATGCTATACACCGACTATCACGAGCCCTACGTCGAGGCCGTTGTAGATTTGTGCCGCAATTCTGCATTTCCTCATAATGACCCTAAGTTAAGGAGTGAATGTTCCCCCTTCTTTTACACCTCTTGACCTTTGACCTTTGACCCCCAGCTTCGACATCCCAACTCGTTTTCGGATTACCCCCCCACGTCCCGAATATCGTGACCGTACGTCGAGCGGTTAAGATTTGTGCCCAACTGTTGACGCGCACGGACGATCATGCGATTCTACAAGCTGCATCTCAGATGAGCTAAAAAATTGAAGATATAGATAGATAGATCTCGGCCACGTCAAACAGACCTCTAAAACAAAACCGATGCACATCGCTGAACGTACTGAGGTTGAACCTATACTCACCACTGATGTCAGTGCTATCTAGGAGTTCATATAAGTGTGCAGTCCTGCCCGACTTGAAGAAGAACGCATTCTGCTGGAACATCTGTCGTCGCAGGCCCTCGGTGAGACTGTCGCCTGCGGCCATCTCCTCGCACTCTGTGCAGCCGCCGCCGCCGCCGCCGGCTGTCGCATCAGCGATCGTCTGCTCATCGCACTGCGTCGCGGCGTCGGCCGACGGTGCGGCCAGCAACTTTCCATCCGTGCCGACCCTGCCGCCACACGCTCTGCAGGCTCTGGTCCCCTGCTGTGCTTTGTTGAGGGACTGGACCGATGGGGACGTGAATGGGTTGATCGGAGCAGAGGCATCAGTTGACAGTTTCGGAGGTGAGAACGAGTAGAGGTGAAAACCCTCAAGCACGTTCCCGAAAGATGGATCTGTGATCAGAAGAAATTCCTTGATGCGTGGTTAGCATGGTGCGCTCCCTCCCTCCCTCACCCTCTCACCTTCTCTCTACCACGAGTAAATATAGAATTTTTATGAAACCTGGTAGAAGGTAAACAATAAATGCAAGGAGCTACTACATGGATTCAACTAACAAAAACTCAATACAAACAAGTGCCGCAGAGCGACAGGGCTCATCTGGTGTCTGGTGTTCTGCTGATAAATTCATTTGTGCATAGCAAGACATCCTATACATACGTTCATTTCTAACCCAAAAAAACAACACTTCAAACTAGTGTAATAAAATTCCGATAGATGGCGGGCCGCTATTAAAGGCATCGTTGCATCGGTCAGCCAAAGCAATGCAGCAATGGCAGCTGTCTGTGTGACGACGGATTGCAAAAAGCAGGAGAGAAAAATAACTACCATATTATTACTATACATAACGTGCGTTCTATGGTGTTAGGTAATAAGGTACATTAAACCCCTTGCGAGGCACATCTGGCTCATTAAAAAATAGCTCAATGGTTGATACAACCAGAGCAGCTCGTGCAAGATTACAATTTACAGCAATACGATAGCAAATATCTGTAAACTAATTTCAGTACAAGGTAGGCCCGTGATTAGTGGACCGAATAAGCTCAAGAACGCACACACTTGCGTCTATATTGATGCCAAAATTTGATGAGAAAATTAAGTCTGGGAAATCCGCAGCCTCACTCCTGGGTAATTATTTGAGTGCTAATGACTGTATTCCAACTATTCATAATGTACACTACAGAATCTCATATATTATAAGTCATCTCATTATCTCCTAAGTAAGTGTTGTTCAAGTAAGAGTTATGTGTGGAATTTCACTGTAAAATGGGAGCTTTCCACAACCACAGGTACTCGCCAACACAGTTGAGAAACAAATCAATGTTTAACCCTCCTCTTGAGGGTCAAAAAGTTATCCGACACTTACTCTCATACAAGTACAAGTACATTTACAAGTACACACTCATACGACAAAGTACATTTCATGGTCCTTTCAATAAAGCCATAAAAATGCTAGGTCACCGCTGAAACCAAAAAGTTTTTCAATCGCTCCGTCAGACCATGTCCACAGAAAATGTTTAAAATCTGCCCTGTGCCCCCATTGACCTTTGACCTGTGACCTCTAATTTAGGCACAGTGATGGCTTTTCCTACCATGATGCTATACACCGACTATCACTAATTATTTCGACATGCCATCGCTAAGAGCAAACTCAAGCGGGTATAGCGCCATCTAACCGGCACAAATTGGTGATTCAATTTTGGTTTATAAATTATTTAATTCGCGATAGTACAATGGCCAACCGTGTGGTGCTAACCCGCCTAAAAAACCATACAAAGTAAAGCAACTTCCATGCAAACCACTAACCTTATGACAGAAAGTTGTGTATGGGCAGGGAACACACCATTCCACCATGTATATAGCAGCTACGTGGGATTAAGCGTATCCTCTCAAATCTTACAC